TATATTTATATATATATAATGTAAACTCAACTCAACTTGGCAGATAATGTTGCCAAGTTTATGGCCCACTAAAAGACTTACCAATGATGCTGATTTCAATTTGGATTACTTCAATCTTTCACTATCAAATCTTCCAAGATCTTTCGATTGGCAAAGCAAAGGAGTTATCACCGCAGTGAAAGATCAAGGTTTTCTACTTGTAACTATGATCCTCATCAATGATATTTAGCAACAACTGTCACTCATATATCAATTTTTTTATGTTGTCGGATTTCTTGTAAGCATTAAAAATGCTCTGTTTAATTCTATATTTTAGGTCCTTGTGGTAGTTGCTGGGCATTTTCGGTGACTGGTAACATTGAAGGTCTTTATGCTATTAAAAGTGGTAAATTAATATCTCTTTCCGAACAAGAATTAATCGACTGTGATGTAGTTGATAAGGGATGCAACGGAGGCTTGCCCATCAATGCTTTCCGGTTAATTATTTTCCTTTATTAAGGTATAAAAAAACTCAAACTCAGGCATATTTTTCAATAAGGATTATTTTCGATGCGAAAAAGTTTTGAAAATTTAAAAACTGATCAAAATTGAAGTTTTAGCTTTTATTTTTTAGGGAAATAATACGTATGGGTGGTTTGGAACCTGAAGATCTTTATCCATATAAGGCAAAAAATGGAACTTGCCATTTGGTCCGATCCGAAATTGCAGTTACCATTGATGATGCCGTGGAAATTCCACGTAATGAGACTATAATGCAAGCGTGGGTCGCTCAACGTGGTCCTATTTCAGTTGGTATGTACTTAGCACATCGTGCTAAGTGAGAGCAAAACTGCTCAAATTTCAACTAAATTTAAGAAATTCATTTACTTTATTACTCGTCAAGAAATCAACTAAATTTAAGAAATTCATTTACTTTATTACTCGTCAAAAATTTATCAAGAAATCTGATTTGTCAGTATCTTAAATAATTGACTTATTCTTTATTAGGAATCGATGCCGAATTATTGGCATACTATAAGAGCGGAATCTTACATCCACCACGTAAACTTTGTCCGCCGTCAATGATTAACCATGGAGTGCTTATCACTGGTTATGGTTTTGAAGATGGCTTACCTTATTGGATAATTAAGAACAGTTGGGGTGCAAAATGGGGAGAAGATGGTTACTTCCGTCTACTTCGTGGCAAAGATGTTTGTGGAGTACGCGATTTGGCATCGTCTGCGATCATTAATTAATTATTACAAGCATATTTTAAACTGTGAAAAATATATACATGCAATGCGACACATTTAGTGGAATCAAACCGAAGTGCTGGAATGAAACGAGAGCAAACTGATTTCTATTTGAATCCATCATAAATGTTGACTCGATTTTTGCAAATTCATACTTTGGTATAAGAATCAACTCTGTGCTCTGTAATTAACTTTAAATCGTTTCGAACAAGATGTACATCCTACAGGTATTTAGTGAACGTATCTTTATATTTAAATCACTTACTACTCCCTGCCTTAGCAGCATCCGTCACTTTTTACTTCAGAAAGACCCGTTTATCCATCGAAAGAAAAAATAGCACAACAAATAACAGCAATATCGAATTTAAAATAATATGGATAAATCAAATTATCAACATGCAATCCTAACGGTTAACATATTTTAATTCTTCGCCACGTAAGAGCAACTTTTCGTGGGGTAGTTTCACTTTCCGCTCGTCCCTCATCCCCACTCTTTCGAAGTTGTTGTCTCCACATTGCTAAAAATGACTTTTTTTTGAAAAAAAAACAGTTAACAATATAAAGTTTTTTCTATTTGTAAATTCATGCGAAGTTGCATCAAGTTCATAGTTTAGAAATTTAGGAACGTGCATGAATTGCGTTATGTATTTCATGTTGTGAATAAATTGAAAGTTCTATTTTTTCTTCTCAAATAAATATACTATATTTCTAAAGCTTTCATAAATGTTTTAACTTACCGAGCATGGAACAGAAGGCAATCGATCGTATGATACTGTACGTTTGTGACAATGCTTGCATCGGAAAAATCGTTTATTAGCCTTACCATATTTCACGACATGCCCTAATTGTTTGCATAGGTCACTCTGCTTGTGTGATTTATAATTGCACTGCAAAAAAGATATTCATTTCTTGAGAGAAAAAATCTAGAACGAAAATGAACTGAGAGACATTTAGGATTAATATTTGTTAGAAACGATTTCAACAACATTTTCATATGAATTCTTCGAAATTAGAATGATACAAGTTGAGATAATGGAGGTTACCATAAAATGACATTACCTCCGTGCAAACAATTAAATTGCAATTCTTAATTTCTTTAATACTAGTCAAATGATTTTCCACTTTCTCTTTCTGCTCCATGACATGAAAGTAAAGTTCATCACGACCATTATCCTCCTTTAAAAGTTTTTAAGATTGCAAGAAACGATTCTACAAGTTTAAAGTACAACAAATAATGTTACTATAAATATACGTAGCATTTGAAATAAATGATAACAAATATGTTGAACATGATGAATACAGCTGACGGTTATTACAAATCAAATACTAGACAAACTCTATATAATTTATTTCTCTAGAGCGAACACAGCAAAGATAACTGAAAACTTCCTACTAAACAATATTGACTTAAGGTATGCAAAGTAAGAGAAAAATTAAACAGAACTTACGCGTCGAAGATCATCTTCATGATTACTTTTTTTTTGCAACAATGCGGAAATTTCATCCTGTGTGTAAATTACTTTTTGAGAGGAATTTGCGACATTTGGTGAACTTTTATTTTCTATCGCACTTGACTTTTTTGTTTCTGAGTTTTCTTTGCAACTCGAAGAATCTAAATAAGTTTTCATGAATCGCGAAGTTTATTGCCAGCTTTTGCATGTCAATCTACTTTTCTCACAGTTATTTGCAATTATTAGTATGACACTGTTATGAATTTCTATTACAGTGATAACTAAATGATATTGGTCTTCTATAAGGAAATCAACAATTACGATAACAGTTCATAAAAGTTTACGATGTCGATAAAATGCACCAGACTGATGACCTATTTTAAGCTACCACTATTTGTTCCAGTAGTAATTTAAAAAATGAAGCTAAGTAGTAACAAATTCATTAAACTCAAAGTCAGCATCATAAGTGTTTTTTCTGAATAATAAAAAAAATACCATTTCTTATTTCGCTTTCATGTCTTGTGCTAGCTAGAAATTAAAAAACGAAGGAAAATAGACCAATAGCTTACGGGGTAGACATTTCTTCCTGAGTTTGCTCGTGAATGAGTTCGGATCAGCTTTTTCTAATCCTCCTTTGTTTTTTATTACAGCAACAGCTTTAAGCTAAAAGTAATAAAGTTTTTATTTAATTGTCAAAACGCAACTGAAAGATTGAAAAATGAGAAAGCGACATCAAAAGTGAAAAAAATTTAGTTAAATTCAAACCCAGTGGACGAAAACACGCCGAAAATAAAAACAATACTACTGTTATGTCATAAAACCGAATCAATGTGCTGACAGATTTCAACCAACCTTTGCATCTTCAGAAATGCTTAATCTGGATGCTTTCATTGGGCTTTTCAGTAAAACAGAATTAGAGTTTAAACCTTTTCCAAGCACTGGAGAATGCTCGGACTTTTTATTTTCTTTCTAAATAATAATAAAAAGCGTAGATTTACATACAGAAATTGATCAAAGTTTACTTATAATGCAACAAATAGATAATGTAGTGCCTGCTTCAAGTCAAGAATTAGTTTAATTGTCAATTAATTTAAAGAATGCTGACTTTTCTATAGCCTGATTTTTAATGATGCTTATCATAAGATAAAATGAATTCATACTTACAACAATCACCCACTGAATTTTAGAATTTGTCCCTTGTTCAAAAATGTGGTAATGCATCATGCTGAGAATTAATAACATAGCTTATAAATGTTGCAAATGCTAGAATGCTAGAGTAATGGAAGAAAGTTTAGCAACTAATGTTCGAAAAATAAATTATGCTGACATCGCGGAACATATAACATTATAATGATGATACCATTTGTGTTTATGCTAACTGTAGTGAAAAAAATTATACCAAATAGTTTAAAATGTGCATCAAACTTTTCCATAACGTCAACACACAAAAAATACGATCAAATACCTGCTTTTGCAAAAATTCTTTCAATGATCTGTCATTCATCTCTTTCGATAATCTTCTTGTATGAAGTTGTGAGATGTTTCTCTTGCATACTGCAGTCTATAAATATGAATATAGAATAATGGATTCCATTTGAGGTCTAATATATCTGATATGTAGTCAAGACTTCAACCATGGCCAAATGTTAGTCTTATTACTATCCCTCTGATTTTTCTCGCGAGTACTCCTAGTACTCAAGAAAAAAAAATTATTTTATTACCATGACATTCTGACTTTGTTATTCTGCTGATGATATATCAGGTAGCCTAAATGAGCAGTCGATTAAAGAACCTCAAGTGACAAACTTGATCGACTTGCACAAGATGTAAAGATGACTATATAAAAAAGATACCTTTTTCTCAAGCAAAGCACTCAGTGCCATCTTTTCAGATTCCTTGACATTTTTTGCCTGAATAGATGATCTTACATTTTTCAACTGCTTAACACTTTTCCGACTTTCAGTTATTTTCGACAGATTTACGGGACCTTCAGAAACTCTGAAACTATTAAATAAACATACTCAAAGGCTAATTTTAGAATAGAAATATTTCGAGTTTGATCTTAAAATACGCATTTAATTAGGAACTTGAAGGAGAAAATTTCCTCTTATCACTAACTATTCACGTTAATGAGACCAAGACTAGATCTTAGTTCAAGTTGCTGTATACTTCGTTTTTAACTCAAAATTTATTATACGACATTACGTATTCACCTTGAACTTGTTGTCATATCAGAAACAAACAGATTAGGATTTTGTATCACTGGCTTTCGTGTAGGATTTGCTAAAACTGACGCAAACGAGCCTCGATTTGCTGTGAATTTCCGAGCTGCATGTTGAATATGATAAATGCAGACCTCGCACTGCGACAAATTTATCACGTTGTGGCATGCAGTTCCATCTTTTTTAACTGCCTGGCACAAAAATGTTTTCTAAGCTTCTGGAGCATTTAACATTTGAAATTTTAGTCACGACTTTTCAAAATAACCAAGAAACGAACCTTGCAATATCCGAAATCTGGACAAAATCCAATATTCAAAACTTGAGCACACTTAGTTAATTTCAATGTCACTGAAACCTGATGATATAAATGGAAGAGATAAGGAAGTCAATGAAATGGCAAAAAATTTATAATGATATGTGTTGAAAACACAACATTCCAAAAATATAGAGACTAAATTACAATTCGTGATCTGCGAATTGTAATTTAGTCTCTATATTTTTGTACCAGTAGATGGAAATTATCACTACTTCGGACTTCAATTTGCGGGATGGAAAAATATGCAGCAGAAAAAACAAATACCTTGTTTATTATTACTCTCAGCAAAAGGAGGGGTTATTAAAGCAATAACGGATCCAAGTTGTAGTTTCCAAAATTTTTTGATGCAGTCGCCAAACACAAGAATTTTAATAATTTCATTTTGAGAATTCTGTAAAATCAGACTTCTGTTTAAATTTTGCAACGAAATTCTCTTGAACTTGAAAAAAAGTAAAGCGACCAATATTAAGAAAAAAAAACAATGATATAGCATTACTAAGTACATCAGTAAAAGATTACCACCAGATCAGAGACGTTCCAAACCATGTACTCATTACCATTTGCACTTTTACGGCAACCAGTTTTTTCCACGATAACAGCCAAAGAAATCCAGTTACAATCCTGTTGCTATAAACATTACAAAGAAAGTAATGAGTATGCAATATTTCCGTGAATACTAAGATTTGAAACCTTTGAATATTTTTGTGACGCGAAAAATTGATTAATCTGCTCTTTTCATAATATTTTAGCAAAGACCATGAAAAATTGTAGGCAATAAAGTGAATCTGATCCATACAGTTAACAATTTCAGCTGATTCAATCGGACTTTCCTCAAACCATCGCAATACGATTCAAAAGCAGCAGATGAAAGAAGTGGGTTTCTAAAACAGGAGTAAAAACTAGAATGATTACAAATCGAGTTGGAAGAATTTGAATAAATATAGATATGACTGCAACACAGCAAGTAAGTGATTGAAAATGTAACTCGCTAAGCTTCTCATAATCCATTTAAAAAACTGCAGGTTTTTTAAAATGTCCACTTGATTATATTGCTATCAACAATAATAAAAATAAAATTAATTTAGTATCACCTGACACGGATATTGAAGAATGAATCGAAAATTTGAGAGGAATTTTTTGATAATGATCTCACAGCCTGAGTTATCTGCTGGGCTTTTTCTTGAAGAGAATTACGCTTTTCTACAAGACTTAGTTTTCGTCTTTTTATAGATTCAGTCTAAATAGAGAATTAAGCAGCACTTTTTCAAGAAAAATAACTATTGAACTGCAAAAAAAAATTATCGAGCACAAACAAGATCAGGCATTAAAAGCAAAAAAAAGTCAATATTGTAATTTACACCATAACTTTTTAAAATATTGAAAAGAAATTAAAATATATAAACATCAACTGAAAGATAAGCACTTACTATATTATATGAGTTCGAGAAATTGTTTTGCGCATTCTTCAAAGTTTTTTTGATGCTTTTACCAGTAGCACTGAGAGAGATGCTGAAAAAAATTAATAGCATAGTTTATCAGCAGCTGAACTTCTGAATTCATATAAGCTAAAAGCAAAGTAAAAGTGAAAACGTAGTTCAATTACGTATGATAAGGACTTCGATTCGATTCATCTTCGCTTGAGCTTGTCATACCAGAATGTAGCAAACTGCTCACACTTGCAGGTCCTTCTTTTTGATCATTTTTAGAAACATTTTGTGAACAATCGAAATTTATTGGAATTAATTGGCGCGATGCTGAAAGTGAATATGATAAAAAATTTACTACTCTCTCTCTCTCTCTCTCTATATATATAGTAGTAAATTTATATAAACCTGCTATTCGACATTGTTATACCGTAAGATGTTGAATGTGACTTCGTTTCTGCATAATTTTATCTCTCTTGCAATAAATCAAGTTTAGATTCTGTTTACAGGGAAACATATGAAAATAAGTCATTAAAATATCTAATATCACTAGTATGCTTTCCTTAATACTAAATATGTTATACAACGATAAGATGAATATAAATGTAAGCTACTTAATGATTTTTTATTTTGCATTCTTCCTGCAGAAAAATTTTTAACTTACGATTAATTTTGCTAGACATGTTAGCTGCATCCAAATTTACTGATTCTTTTTTCTTGATGCTGTTATCAACTTTGAGTGTTTGAACCTCTTCCACACCATTGTTAACTGATGCTTCTAAAGACTACGGACTTTCAAACTGAATTAATCAGTGGTTCAAGAATTAACTATTGCTTTTTCTTTATCACTAATTATATGTATTTGTCTGATGCAATCGAAATGTTACAAATAATATCAAAATACAAATCAAGCTCTAAACTAAATTCTGTTGACTGATGATTTTTATACATGTTATACATCTGTTTAGAATAATTCAGAATAAGATAAGATATAACAAATTACTTTCAGTTTGTTCGTTACTGCTAAATAAATCCAGCAATTCATCAAGTGCCCCGTTAGCTGCAGTCATTTTCTTCTGTATTCTAATTTACTGCAACTTCAAAACTTGCACATCTTAATAGTTTACAACTTATAACAATCATGAGAAATATATTAAAATAGAACTGCTATATCGTTACTCATAGATGTGTTTTTACCAATTTTAGTCTCGTATGAACGTCACAAACAGAATGATTCTTTTGGATGGTAATTTTTGTAAAACCTCAAGTTATCCAAGAAATTACAAGATGTAACATAGCGTTAGATAAATCGTGCCAGCAAGAGAAACAGATTCAGCCTAACCTTTGAATCAAAAAAAGAATGTTACAAAACTAATAATACCCGTACGTAATCACCAACTAGTAGGCTCAATTCAAGTACCTACAAATTTCGAATTGGATGATAACGCGCCATAAATCTTTCATTGCAAGACCTATTTAGATATGCATGATTTATATTTACACCCAACATTTCTGCATGATTTCAGAAGTCATAAAAGTTCGACCCAGATGTAATAAGCTAGATGCGCATTTGGTGTATATACAAGTCTACTTCATTTGCTGCAAGTACTATTATGAACGGATAATAGCTCTTAACAACATTTGAACTCTTCACATTAAATTGATTTCCCTAAATAGCACGGAGTGTGCGTACTTGGCGCAGTCATGACGACTACATGTACAACGTTGTTACTTTTTACTTTGCAGTTTTATGCCTGATAAGTTGCTGTCAAAACAAATTTATTTACATGAACACTGTGAAAGGACATAAGTCACTTCTGACAGTAAACAATGCTTGTGGTCAAAAAGTTTAGTAAAAATTATTAAACTTTCGGAATTAAAACTGGGCATACTTTGGTCGTCGTAATTAGATATGCATTCATATGTATGCTAGTTTTTTAAATTATATTACGTTTTAGAGTGGAATATATCCATATGTACTAAATAGAACTGAAGAGAAAATATATGCAACAATAATTCATATATATGTATATACCTCAATACCTTTGCATTTAATTTATGAGATTACAAGAACTGGAATTTCTTTCAAGCAGATGTAGACGTGAACGAAAAAAGTTTAAACTGTAACAATTGTTTTCAAAATAAATTACGGTAACGAATTATTTACAAAGTTTTTGACGAAAATTAAAAATAGGTGAATTTCGAAAGACATTCAAGAGCACGCATCAGGACAGAAATTCAAAGCTTAGTAGAATAGAGTGATCACACAGTAATATGACCACCAGTGTCATTTTAAACAGCGGATACTTCACATAACAAATACTGAAATAGAAAACATCATAATTAAGGAAGGCATGACGACGCTTTCCTGACAATTTCCTCATTTACATACATGCGGAGAACAGAATCATTCAAAATTTGATAACAGTGCTAACTTGGCGTGGAGTTCAATGCATGGAAATTGCTCAGCTTATTATTCGATCGGTGCTACACACCCTGAAACAGATTATATGATACCTTTCTGATATTCTCCTTGCTTCTAATTCATTTAGAAATTTATATATTGTGCGGATGAAGTAATAGCTTGCATTTCGAAGCTTTTATTTGGATATTTATACTTTCATCGAGAGCTTAATTGCCTCCCTCTTAACATCGGCAACCTAGTAAAACCATGCAGAGAGATCTATGAAGGAACAAGTTGAAGTATCACATGTAAACGGTAAATGGTACTTACAGCACACATAGTCTCACAATGCTTTCTGGAATCAAAACGATTTTGGCTGCCACCGCAACCTCGGTAAAAAAAGAGTTTGCAAATCTTTTCACGTTTACTGTAGAAATATTGTAAATTGGTTCGAGGGGGCGTTTCATCTTCTCGACATGTCCGACCTGTAAGAACAAATAATTATAATTCATATCCTTCATTCTTCACTCTTTTTCACAGGCATCAAAAACAGTTATTACAGAATATAGGAATGACAACCTTCATTAGGCTTTAAGAGACAAACACTCCGATCAGAAGCTGACTTTTGCAAATATTCGTGTCCATCAAATGGATCAGTTACTTCTCCAACATCAATGTGTACTTCGTTAGCTTCTGCGTCTGATGAAGCCGGATTTCCAAATGCATCATGAAATGCTACAAGCACTCATGTAAGTAAAAATGTAATTGGAGATGGGATCTGATATACATATGTCATTCGGTATCACAAGGTAGATAAACTATTGCCTTGAATTTAGAACTTGAATCAGCAGATTCAGTGAGATATCAGTAATAAAAGAATTTTATCTCATCAGTTAATAAGACAAAAGTATTTACCCTGTGCTCGCCTTGCTTTACCCTTTGGTTTTAGCATCATTCGACCATAAGGGGACTCATTTTCTCCACTCAATGCTGAAATATTGCAATGGTTTGTTCTTGCAATTTTTTGCCTTCATTGTTAATTACATACACAAGTTTAGAGAACGACAGCTGTAGTAGCATCATATCAGTTAGTATGATATTCTTTTTTTCCATGACTTTCAACATGAAAAAATTTACAGTTTTCAAAATATGAACCCCTTTTTATGTTACCAAGGATGTAGGATCTTGAACAATTATACTTGTGATATAGGTCAGATCAATGAAAAGTTGTATATAATGTAATGTATAAGCATGGCTCGCATTTTTATATTTCTGAGGAAAATCAGTGACTGGTAGCATGAAACATAACTTACTAGAAAGAAGAGAAACATCGATTTCTTCTTTAGAATCGTGGAAATCAGTAACTAGCTCTTCTAAAATAAACGTGCATGAACGCTTGAAAAAGCTGAGAATTCAAAATTAGAAAACTAACTCACCATAACTTTCATAAAAGATAAAGAAAAGATTCAAAGAATGACCAAGCAATGTATTTGTAGATCTTTTTTATACTGGACAAAATTTATTTTACTTTCTGAGTTTCTGTTTCTGCTGTGCAATAAAAATAATAAATGAACCATTTGTAGCTTTGTCACCCAAAACGTGAACTGACTGAAATTTTCTTCTGGATGCACTTTTGCTCGGTGAATCAGATCCTCTTTCTAAAGCAATACTTTTTTTAGAAAAATGTTCAAGTACTTGAATTTGCAGATTCTTTGCAACAGAAACGCCATTGCACATCTCAATTAGAAGATGTAATTAATGAACGGAATATGCTTTACATTGGGTCATAAAACTTGAATTTATTTGAGTTTTTCTTTAATAAACATTCTAATAACGAGAGAGAGATCGGATAGTGCTTTTCAGCAATTTGATACACTGATAAAAGGAATTAACGGACCATGTTTACTCACAACATCGGACGGCAACGAACCACGCAATATTACTTCACCAGGATTTGATGGCCTCAATCCAAAAAAAGGAGGTACTTTCGGCGGTGGAGGAATTTTGACTCCTATCAATGCCAAAGGGCAACACAATCTTTCTGTAATTATAAACAAATAAAGGAAAATATGTTTAAATATTCACAATATCGCAATAAAAGTGAGCGAACATTGCTAAAAATACCAATTACAATGGCCGTTTACTGACACAAAAAAATTCTTGCAGTTTAATTATAAATAGAATACTTTCTGTAAGTAAAATCTACCGCTATTTTCGGTAGAGATGGAACAGTAATAGCCAATGGGACAAAGTGATTCGCCATCAAAACCAGCACCACATCTAAGAGGTTGCTGAGTAGATTCATTAAGCAATGCATCTGAACCATCAGGACAAATATCTGAAGGGATGTTGAATGATGCCACGATTCCTGAAACATTTCCAGCAATCGATACTGAAAACTTTTTTATTGAACAGAAAGAAAACTTTCGAAATGAACTAAACAACAGTAATCTGAATAGCAATGTGCTGCAGGAAAGAGCATTTTTACCTCTATTATCATCTAGTTCAGTTTCCTCGAGTTCAGAATCAGAACCACCTCCTCCAGAGCGATGAGCAGCGAAACGCACATTTTTCAACTTTCTGGCTGCTAATAACCTTTCATAATCTGTAAAAAGCATATTAATGCTTCAAAAGTTCCTAAAAATAATAAGTCACTAAAGTCGCATCATTATATTCATAAAAAAATATGGTTAGTTCAGAAAACAATGATTACAAAAATTACTGCAGTGACGAAAAATCTAAAAACCTATGCGTGTATTTTGAAAGCATTACTGCAAAAGGTTATGAAAAAAATATATTTGAAAAGTTTTGATGCGTGTACTTTGAAGCCTGTAGCTTCCAAAATTATGAATGCTTTCAAAATACACGCAAAATACACGTTAAAAAAAGTCTTGCAATCAATAACCTGGAAAAGTTCCTTTGGGACAGCATACATGAGGTGGTCCCATACGACAATAATAATTTTTCGGGCAACCAAATGACATGCTTTCATTGCCACATAATACAGGAGCATTATCACCAAGAGGTACTTTTCCAAAGGGACATTGCCCCGGTGGTGGATCTCCATCATTAAATTTACCTGACCAAAAATGACACCATAACTTTTTAAACGGAATTATTTCTCTCTATTTTTAATAATTTTATGAGTTAGAAACGATATAATTAGGATAAAGTGCCAATAAAAGGGTATAATAAAATATAGAATATATGTAAATTCAAGGCAGATATGGCGGCCTTTTAAGAAATACTAAAGTTTTAGATAATTGTTCCGTATTAAACCTTGATCTTTTTTCAGATGCATCTGACCACTGAAGCACTCTTGTCTACATTCCATTTCTGTGGCAAAATTGTTTTCATTACCTCCACAGCCACTATAATAGAATAACCGACATGTGCCTATTCGATGATCATAAAAGTACCGAAGATGGGCTTCAGCACACTTGCCGACATCAACTTCTTGTCGACAGATAGGGATTGAGCGAAGATTATTATCTGCTGCAGACACCTTTGCCATAGAAAACCTCGACAGTGGGGCTAGAATAATGTCAAAGACAAATGTTACAAAAATAAGCTAATCTATTTGTTTAGCACTACATTTCAACTCCATTTTTAACAAACAAATTCAACTTTCTGAGACACACTAAGAACATCAGAAAAAGACAGTCAAGTAATAGAACCATTATGTGTTGATTGTTAGAATCAGCTTATCATCGATATTCTAATCACAAGTTACACAAATTCTGAACACAAGTAATTCCTGAGATTAGAAAATTGCACCGATCAACATCAGATATAATTAGAGCTGCTCTTACCTAAATTTCGAAAATATTGTCACTAAGGCAGGTCTACCATATTACAATCAGAAACTTACAATCGATGCGAGCTAGTGTATTTGTTGGCTGTACCGTAGAAAAAATATTCAACTGTCGTTTAACTCGATACTTTTTTCGAACAATCAAGTCATTCGTATTCATCTGTGTTTTTTTCATACTTTTGTAGCCACGCTTCACTTCTTCACCACCATAACCTGTAATAAATTTTATATTTATGATTAGATGAAGATAACTGTAAGCAATATAATAGACGTTTACACTTCAAAGAAAGCGAAAATTAAAAATGGTTCTAATGTTAGAAAGTAAATTAAGCAATTATTATTTAAAAAAATGGATATCTCGTGGTAGAAAATGATTAGCAAAATACATTTTATATATTAAAAAACAAATTGTTGTAAAAAAATAAGTATACGAAGAATGGAAAATGCTTGAAAAAGGTAACCTCCAAATATATGTTCATCGTATGGATCTTCAGCATTTGGACAACAATAAAAATTGACACCGTTGAAGTAACACAAAGAGTTAGCTGAACACTGGTTTCTACCTGGCAAACACGTCATGGGTCTGCCATTTGAATCTTGCACAGGTTTCAAGCCATTTGGACAGTTAGGTACACTTCCAAAACCTTGGATACCATTTAATACGGAATTCACTGTACCATCAGGACTACTTTCATCGTTTCTGTTTTGCACCATTTCCCTAACACTAACTGAAACTGATTTCATTGGCTCAAAATGAAGTTGAATTGAAAAAGACTAGAAATTTAGAAAATTACCGAAAATATAAATTAACTGAAGTTAAGATTTTTTTTGAAAAATAGTAAATCTTATTCTCTACACATTTCAAACACTACAGTAAAGTAATATTACAGAAGCAAAGAAACTGAATGTAACTTGCCTTTATCAAGAGTATGATTGACATCCATCATCTGTGCAATTGACTGTGATTCTGGAAGTGCTTTCCTTTCAGATAGCTGCTCATGGGAGTCGTATATTACAACTTCAGCACTAGTGGAAGGAAGTTGTGATGGTGTTACAATTACAGAAGCCTGTTGTTGAGAGATGCTTTCAGGAGATAATAGCTGTTGCGAAGTCAGTTGCTTAGTCTGTTCGTTTTCAAGATAAACGGTCTCAACATTCGCTCTGAAATCATACAATGACTATTTCTACGATTCCGAAGTTAATCAGTCATTCAGATGCAATGTAAAATGAGAGAAACTAGACTTACTTTTCATTTTGAGCATTTCCAACACTTGTCACACCAAAAGCATGGGACTGACTTGGCAATAAACTATGTGTTGGAGATAAAAATCTCTCCTGATTCTGCTCTTCTTGTTGCACAAGCACATTTTCTGGATTTGGAAGTTGAACTGTTGGAGATGCAACACCAACATTACTTTGAAGATGAACTACCGAACTGTTTCTAGACACAATGTTGGAATGAGCAGACAAGCTGCTGCCTGCTCCGGTAAATTTGACATCCAACGCTGCAAATGAGTCATGTTAATATGATGCGTCTAAAATTCACAAAGAGAGTTTAATAAAATACATTGGAAAAAAATTAAATATATCCTCGATAACCTCAGAACAAAAGTTGCCATATAATAGGATACAATGAATAGATGATTTCAAAATTCTGAAAATGAGTTTAAAGACTTCCACGAATGCGAGCTGCAACCGCAAAACAAAATTGAAGGAAAAGCTACTAATTTACAAAAGATAAGTATTTGAAAACAAACGGATGCAGGTATTTTGACATTCGCCAAGTGTTTGGAACCGATTCCAATTGCCACCTTGGCCTTGGTATACCATTTGTTCACATCGTAAATTCCTTACATTAAAGTACCACTGAACATTGTACCCATTACTAAAACCTTCGTCTTTCTGATAGGTGCACCGTTCTGGCAGTTGTGATCTAATCGGATCAACTGTAAAATAACATACCCTTCTAAACTCAATAGAATAGGTTAACCATGCGCGAGTCAGCTTCTGTCTCAATAAATGTGAGATCTGACTAGTACACCTTAAAATACATTTTAAGCAGTAAAATCAGAAAACAGAATGGCTGACAGTACATACAAAAATCACTGTCTGAAAGACATTTTGTTTTCATGCGCTACTCTCACTTCATGCTTTGAGACCTTTTTAACAAAATATTCAGAAATAACAAATTTACAACGTCAGATTATATTTTCGTGTAATTTCAATATTTTCAACTGTCAAATGATTGTTATAGTCAACGTAATAAAACAAACATACTTTGTGAACATTTGACTTCGCATGCTTGTCTTTCCAAAAAGTTGTTGGAATTGCCTCCGCAAGAGCCATAGGAGAATTGTTCGCACTTACCAGTTTGTGAGTTGTAGAACCACCGAGGCACGTAATTGAAGCAGTTACCTGCGTCAGGTGGCAATACGCAAGTATCATCTTCCTCGGGAAGGATCAGCTGTGCTGACGTAACATCTGTAGTGACTGTTGATGCGGTAACAGCTGGCAGCGTTACTGGTGGATGGAACACATTTTCTTGTTGGTTCCATTCTTGAGATGCAGGCTGTCGTGATATTACATCTTCAGATCGCATTGCAGGCCAAACTACTGGAGCTTTCTGATTGCTACCTGCAAATTGCATGTTTCACGTTCATTATTAAAATCAGTGAACTTTAGGTTAGTGACACCAAGCAAAATTAGCATGCCAAATTTAGTTAATGTGTCCATAAGCAAAGCAGAAGACAGTGCTCAACTTGGTAGAAATAAGTTCTAGATGTATTGTTTTGGGTTGAGCTAGCATTAAAGTGACACTATGTAACGTGCGTGTGCATTAAGATGCTGTGTTAGGTAAAGCTGTGGCTGGTAGATTCTAAAATCAGTGATTTCACCTCTACCTACCATACCTACACTATTATACCTACTAGTTAGAATGTCACTTTTGGGATGTTATTAATGTAGATGAGAAGAAACAGCGTTTTCTTCGCCTTGATCAATGCTGATCATGTACGTGGTTACTCTATCGACATAATACAACGCTGTACCTGTTCTTCCTTCAGCCTCTTCTTTCCTCCTTTGACTGAAGGATGCAAATTCTTGTTGTTGATGTACCGGTGACACTGTACCAGTACTATTACTGTAGTAGTAGTTCCTAACATATGGTACATTTGTAATGTAATGACTGGTGTTGGAGACAGCAAAAAAATTATGTGGTTGAGAGTTATACTGATACTTTCCATCATATTCACTGTCATGTTCTTCATTCATGGCTGTTAATCGTTTAATAGCTCCTCGATTCTGCACACCAGTATTTTCTACCATTCTTGATGAGTACATTTGATTTGGGAATGACCGTATCTCAGATCTAGCGGGTGAAGGTAGACTTGTTTCATGATAAGCTGCAAGATCAGGTGCACTAATATTGTTAGCTTTTGCTAATGTGTTCAAAGGATCGTAAATCCGCGAATTAATCATTTTTCTGTCATTTGTCAACCACTCTTCTAACAAATATTGTTTATCAAGGATTTGAGAATTTATAATAGGTTGTAATCCGTCGTAGAGCCAATTTTTAGTAGATTGTAATGCTAAAGTTGAGATGGATGAGTAAGTTGATGGAGAAACAGATGGTATAATTGTTGTCTCACTAGATGTTGATAATGGTACTGTACCATTTGTTGTTGGTCGTGAATGTGGTTTCTGATATGAAGTATAAATAGATTGCGCATTTAATTCAGATGACATTGTAGGGGAAGTTAGGGTAGTTGTATGATCTGTGGTAGAAGGAATCGGTGAAGTTACTGAGGAAGGTGAAGTTACTGAGGGAGATGAAGTTACTGAGGAAAGAGAAGTTACTGAGGAAGGTGAAGTTGAAAAGATGTAGACGGATGCAATTTGTGGTGTGCCCCATTTCGTAAGTGAATGAATCTTTTTTTCCACACTGCCTTCTTCTTGAGCAACTTTTGTTGGCATCTTGTATGTTGTCATAATTGATGCTTCCGTAGTGCTATTCGTAAGATACTCGTTATTTTCATGAGCTACATGTGAATTTAAATAAATTTCTTTAGTAGTGCTATACCCATCTACATCGATATTTGATTCTGCGAGATGAAGTATATGAGGTGAGTAATTCGATTCATTCTGCTTAGCAGGATTCTGATGAACTTCTTTTTTGACATCAGTACTTATCACTGATGCTTTTGATAATGTATCATTTACAGTATTTGCTGAAGGAGTGCGTAGTTGATGTGCACTGGCAACATTGTTGTCTGTATTAGTGCTTAAAAGTGCAGTGTCTCCAGTAATTTTATGCTTGTTCTCTACTACACCTAAAATAAGCATTGATAAAAGCCTTCACAGTATTTGACTGTGCAAATTTTTAAAAAATTGTACATTTAAAAAAATCTGTAAAATTAACTGACCATTATCAGGCTATTATATTTTCTAAATAATAAAGCTACTGTTATTACAGTACCTCTTATTCATGGATGCGCCACTTGGCTAACAACCATAAAGATATAAAAAAAAAAATGAATCAAGAATTATGATAAAAATGAATCAAGAATTTTCAATCCTGCTAAACACCGATAAAATTTAGATCAGTCTTTTGGTTTCAACTGCTTTGAATGCTATCATTTATTTTGCTAGCTATTAGCTACTAGTAAAGTCTCATCTATACAATAATTTAGCCACAAAATGAGCAGAATTTTCTGTAGCAAAAGTTTGTCTATTCATTCGGCACACTCCATCATCTAAACGATTATCAGTTGTAGAAATGAAGATGCCCTCTATGGCCTTACCATGAGATATTATGTAACTAAATTGACTTTTTCTTGCTATAAAGTCAACGCAAGCAATTTTGGTGATATTTAACGTGTGAAGTAACGATCTAGTTACAGGCAAGAAATTAGGATTACGTAGATATTAGACTCACCAAAATCAGGCGTGTTGAAGAACATATTTTCTCCTTCAGAAGTTGATTGCAAATTTATTGATGATGTTGATGGGGGTGCTGATGCTGAAACTGATTTTGATAGTAAGAAAACTGATGATGTAGATGTAGATGAAGTTGCTGCTGTCGTTGATGGCGATGAAATTAGTGGTGACACAACAGAAGAGAGAAACTTTGAGGCAGAGCCTTGATTAATGATTCGAATATGATGTCGTAGTACGGAATCACGGCTTAGTTGCATGGAATCGGTATTTGGAGCTTTACCCATTGCTCCGGAATATTTTTTATGAATGTCTTTTGATTGAGCGTCATTAAAAAGTAAATCATTCTGGATAGAAAGATCAGTAAACCTTCCCGAAATTCGATTGCGATCTTTTGGCATCTTATAAGTATCAACGGTCCTTATGTGAGCCAGATTTTTTGCTTTAATTTCAGGTAAATTTATATTTGCTTCTGCATGCGTCTCTTCATTATTTCCAACTTTGTGAAATTCTTTTGAATTTACTTTTTCTTCTTCGTTTTCTCCTTCATTACTTGGAAGACTATTCTTCGAATGGATTTCTCGCAATTCCGATGATAGCGAAGAATCTTGTAACTTCTGCTTATGTGATTCAGAAGAAATGCATGCTGTGCCCTTGTCAACAGAAGCATTTTTATCACATGCTTCTACTTGCTCTTCAACTGGACGTTCTGCAAACAACTGCTTCGCTACGCTATTATTGAATATATCGTTTCTAACCGTATCTAAGTTGTTCGTACTACTATTATATGGCGTGAATTCTGTAACAGATTCCGGTGTGGCTGTCATTGATGTTGATATTGCTCGTTGCTCCAAGTTTTCTTCTTGCAGTGAAGTGAATTTCTCAGTAACAGCTTCTGATTTCGCTTTTTTCTTCAACAAGGAAGAATTCATAATTGGTATATGAATGTTTTTCATGATAGAATTTTCAATTTCAGTTTTATCGCTGTTTACCTCAGTTTTGATTTCTGAGGCTGTTCGCTCCAATTCATCTTTTTCTTTCACCATAACTACTTGATTCTCTTCTCGATGAACTGGTTTATCAATTTGAATCCGAGGAGAAGCATGCATTACTTTGTCATTACTTGAAATCACTGATTGTTTTAACTTATTACTCTCGGGTACCCATACAGCTAATCTATGTCCCAAAGGACCACTCCAAGACTGTCGATGCTGCAAGCCTACTGTTCTATATGCAGATTCTCCAGATTTCCCCTTGCCAGCTTGTGAACTGGCAAGTACAAAGTTAGACCTGGTATTAGCTAGTGACTCAAATGATGGTGCTTTCAGTTTTTCATTTGCTTGTCGTCTCAATACTAAATCAGATTTATCATCTCTCCTCTGAGAAATTTCATGTGGTAACATAACAGTATTGTACTTCTCAATATTATCTGTGTTACGTGTGTGCTCATGTTCATTTAGCAAGAGTGTTTCGTCAAATTCTGACGACGTCAGGTCATTATTCTGTGAACGTGAGGAGACACTTTGATAAGCGGCTATCCTTCTACGGCCTGTACGTCCATCTAAACATATGTTGGTGCTTAATTTTTCATTTTCCCGTTCCTTCAAATCTCAGCAATTATAAACAAATTGGATAATTTGACTTGACTAGAAAAAAATTGCAAATGGTCCACATCATCCCGCAAATAACAGACTTAGATTACCAAAGAGTTATCATAGAGAGATCCTAGCAAGAAACAATATTTAATTTATAACAGTCTTATTACTTATCTGTATAAGTATGTTCCGAAAGTTTCTGTGCTTTCTAGTTGCATTGTAGTGCAAAGAATGCATAAGTGCGTGAATTGTGCATTAAGCGCAAGTATTCATGCATCGTTACAACAAGTTTACTTACTTACTGAAAGTGGAGAAACTTACTTAAAAACCGAGCACAGTGAATCTCACATTCGTGTTTAGAGAAGAAGTGATTCCGATTGCCTGCGCAACCACCGTACTGAAATGATTTGCAGAGACCTGTCTTTATATCAAAGTGCCAACGTTCAATAAAGTTTTTGCACGGTCCTGGTTCCTGTAACAATTATTCAGAAATGGTTAGTGCACGTATTATTTTGACTTTTTGTAGAATTCATATGTTTACAGTATTAACATTATCATATTATGAATCTTTTAAGCAATAACATACCATAGGTTGTGTACATTTTTCCCCCAATTCTATCACGGAATTAACTTTCGAAGTTTGTTCTGGTGGTGGTACTTGCTCAGCTTTCTTTTCCACATCATTTTCTGAATGCAATATTTTTGTAGTGTAAAAAATTCATTTATAATTAATATATATGCACATAAAGTACAATTCAATATTTTGTTTCTGTGGTTTGCTAGAAAAAAAAGTTACCAAGTGATTTCTCAGCTTGCGAAGTTTGATCTATTTGTGATGAATCATCAGTTGTTGGAATTGGAGTAGATATCTGCATTGATACTTTTTCGGTTTCAGGCTGTGTTACAGGACATCTGCATTCATGACAACCAAGTCGATTGGAGAACAGAATACATGGCTCCAGACAGTGTGAGACGTTTATCGGAGGACATTGCGTTCCTAACGATAGTTCTACAAACAATAAACACGTCAAGGTAAGAAAAAAAAACACGTGGAAAAAAACATATTACTTTAAACAAAAAATAATAAGGAAAAAGAGATATTCGTTCATGCAAAAGAACTTTTTTACCTTTGACACACATTTTTTGGCACTCAGTAATGGAGGCAAAGTTATTTCCATTACCACCACAACCACCATAAGTGAAAGGTCGACATTCATTTGATGCCTGATCATATGCAAATCTTGGGAAGACACTGGAGCACTCGCCTACTTCTACAGGGTGCTCAC